AAGTGATGTTATTGTGAATGTTTGAGATGTGTAGATGGCCTTGAGATACTTATATTGAGTTTTGTGCACACCCCTTGATATATGCAAAGGCGGGGTTTTAGTGGCCAAAATATGCTTGGGATGCAATTGTTAATGTATGACTGTTTAATCAGGTTGTTTATAATTTATTTGAGTTGGTTCAAGTGGTTATAAGGTTACTGGCACTAAGTTAGTGAGTTGGGACACCCTTGAAGTTGTTTGAATTAAAAACAATCAATTTTGTGTTCGAGTGTCTAACTTTCAAATGGTTAAGTATTTGGGTTTGAAACTAGTGTTAATAACTAGGTGGCTCTAAGAGTTATGTGTGGACACTTGAATTGCTCAAATTAAATGTCGAATAGCAAAACGACGTGCTTCAGAAGTTGATCCTAAAGTGCTGTTATGATAATAGGAATGTGTCGCGACACAGGGCATATGCATTGCATTGCATAATGAGAGGACTATCCTCTCTACACCATCCGCCATGCCACAGTGAAATGATCAGTTTGGGCCTTATTCAAATTGCCTTCTTCAGTGCTTGTATGTGATGTTATTTGGTTTTTCATGCTTTTGTTAATTTTATATACTTGTTTTAAATCATTGTTTACGCCCGTACATCATTTCAAAAAAAGTTTATTGGGATCCTAATCTTTTAAATTACTTTTAAAACCTTGATATTATGATAACCTAATATAAAAAATTTAGTTAATTCTGGTTATCATAATGATATTACATTCTCATATTTTGTGTTTTAATAATATCAAGGTGAACATTACAGGTTTCATGAGGGTATATGAGGGGAATTATAAGGGATATAGAGGTTAGGAAAATTTTGTTAGGGATAATCTCTTCCCTGTATATCTCTCCTATTGCGTTTCCTTCTTCCTTGTTCTTATTAAGACCATAGATTCATTTTCCCTATTCTTATCAGTTGCTGTAACTGATAATATTTAGCTAAATAATACTATACCTCTAGGACTTTTCATCTAGTTGTGTCTTTCTCTAGAATCCTTAGCACTTGTAATTCTTTGAGTGCAGGTTATCATGACATATTCAATCGTAATAATTGAAAAACTGTAGATCATCTTTTATATCGCTCATTGTAAAAGGTTTTGATAAACAAAATCTACAAATCTCTAATAATATAATGATAAAAATTTACCTTTAGTTCTAGTCACCCCTTACTTTATTCACAAGATAGGGATGTTACCTTCTGACATTCACTTCACAGATCTAGATCACCTCAACTGCCTTAGAGAAAGACTAGTGCAAGATTAAAAATGAGAAAAGAAACAAGCAACATCTTGTTCTACACCGTTTAACTCTAAAAAATATGGAGTTCTCCTAACTTGGATAAAGAAGATAATAAATTAACTGAGACACCAAATTGAAGCTTATAAGGTTCCTCTTTGTGTCACCTCCTTCTTTGTGTAGTACTTTTTCAAGTTTAAATTTTACAATGTTACATATTGAAGATTTGTGTTGTTTTACCATGTCTGGATCAGTGAGTTTTGTAAATTCTATCCCTCTTTGCCTCTTCCTTTGCTATCTATCATGGTTTTATCCATGAATTTCACAATTTACAGACTGTAAATTGGTCGCAAAGTTTAGGTGTATTGGTTTCTAACTTAAGAAGACTTGCCACTAATAACTTGTTAAATGCGGGAGGAGAAATTGGCACTAAAAATGTAATGTGGAACATATAGAACATGGCATGAAATAAAATTTTCAATCCGTAATTTTTTATATCCTGTACTTACACCAAATACCAATCTTTCTCCAAGCCATTGGATGAGTCTAATGGAGGGTATTAAAGCATATATAAGGCAATTAAGGTGATTTGGATCCTTCACTTTCTTTATCACCATTGTCATATTTCTTCTGCACCTGTTTTCTCTTTTGGTTCTTAGGTCTTATTTGATAATTCATTTATTTGGTTCACCCAAAAAAAGCCACAAGTCAATGCTTTCCTTATTTAAATCTTTATGGGCTTGAAGGCATAGACATTTATCAATACAACATGATAGCCTAATAGAGTATTTTAATTATTCAGGCATTGATAGATTTACACTAACAGTTTGGCCCAACATTTTTTTAAATATAAGGCCACAAAAAACCATGCTAGTAGAAGGGATTAGGTCAAGTCAAGACTCATAAGAAGTTGACTCCTTAGGGGTAGAACATCAAAAATTGAAGTGTCTATATTATTACTCATAACATGTCAAGCTAGCCAATCTGCATATTTGTTGGATTTCTAAATGTGTGGTTGAAGGTGATAGCCCAATTCTTCATGGTAAGGCATATGATCTTTTTTATAGTATCAATAAGAGGATGGTTCGAATTGTAGTCATACCGGATAAGAATAAGATCTTCTAAGGAATCAATGTGAACATTAACATGAGTGAAATTACTCTTCTAGCAAAGATTGAGTCCATCAAGAATACCCAAGAGCTTTGTGATAGTGCTAGGATGATAACTAAGGCTTTTAACAAAACTAATATGACCCACAACATGTAGCTCCATTGGTGAGGGCAGAACTATCAGTGTCTAGTCTAACCCAACCAAGTTTTAGCGGATCCATTTAGTAAGAGACCTGTCTTGGTTCAACTGTATATTTTCGAGTTGAGATTGAAGGTAAAGATCATTGATTATGTCTTGAGTGCTGTGAAAATGATATCTTTATTAGGAATGTGATCTTCTGAATAAATATACTTGCAACACTCTTTCCAAATGTCTTAACAAATATGGGCAAAAAGTTTCTTCTAAGAGGTTATTCTGGTATGAGGATTTCCAACTTTGCATTCCAGATAATCTAGTCCCGCAAGGAAAGAGAAAAAGGAAGTGTTATGCTTAAAGTGTTTAACTAATTTTATCCAAACTTTCCTTGATTTTTTATAGTCGCACAAAATGTAGATGTAGTTGTTATGAGAGTTGCAATCGAAGGGATAAGCTAATCAAAATTAATGTGTAGGCAATCCCAAATAGCTTTTTAAAGAAAGAATTTGATCTTTTTATTGGTGGGCCACTTTTATATAATATTCTAAATTTTAGAATTTGGTTTTCGATAGCTTTGTAGGCTGATTTAATGGAAAAGTTAACATTAGAAGAAGGTCTCCAAACAAGAATATCATTATCACCATGAGGGTTAGGAGGTTGGACAAGTAAAATGGATTTAACCACATCATGGTGAAGATAATGCTTTGATTTATCAATATGCCAGCCACTTGAAGTTGTGTGGAAGTTTGAGACTTTGGCATGAAGAATGGCATTAGCTTTAGGATAAGCTTAAATAATAAGGGGCTCAAGGAGAGATGACCACCTATCGTACTAGAAAGATATTTGTTCTCTTTTGCTTACTTTTCAACCAAAATAAGCTTTCAAAATATCCTAACTTTACAAACACTAGTTCACATGCAAGAGGAGGAAATAGGTTTATACATCATAGGGATAGCGGGTTTGTTACATTTATATTTGCTGTGAAGGATCCGAACCCAAAGATAGTTGGTTTTAGTAATAATACCCCAAGAAAGTTTCATGATGAAAGTAATATTCTAGTTTTTTATTTTCTTAAATCCGATGTCTCTATAATTCTTATCTTTATACTCTCATGTATTGTAGAAACAATTTAATCCAATAAGAATTCTCAGGGAGCCCATTGACCTAACTTTATGAACGTAATTTAACATATTAATTTTTCGTCATATTCTTCACAATTTATTTAATTTAACCTCTTGTGAATTCTTAACTAGGTTTTATGTGTGAACGCTCGAAAAGAGGAGTCCATGCCCGTTCAATATTATTAGAGGGAAACCTCTCATCAGTAAAGGTGGGAATCAGGGTAGGCTCGGCCATTAAGAGCTCAGGTTCTAAAGCCTTATTATTCAAAATTTGACCTAATTTTGAGATTCAACCCTTATTTATAGGGCTCAAGGCTAGGCTCTTAAGCTCTCTTTTTCAAAAAAAAAAATTTAACATTTTATTTTAAACAAAATATTCTAAAATTCAACATAAAATAAATGAAAGTCTTACATAAACTTTAACATAAAGTTTGACAAAGATTTAAAATTTTAAATTTAAGATAAAGATTAAAGTCTTCATCAATGTAAATATAAATCTTCTTTATCATTATCTAAAAATAAAATATTAAATTTTTCAGATGTAAGCCCACTTGTTGAAAATGGAGGTAGAGATTTAACATAATTATCTCTGCAACTTCTTCATCATCACCTATAATAAATATTAACTAAATAGTATCAGCATTAGTCAAGGATATGTATGTACGTGTGTGTGTGTGTATAAGATAACTCAGTTTATTAAGGCTTGAAGGGCTGTCCGGATCTAAGCTCTTTTTCACAGGGTTTATCAAGGTCAAACCCTCAAGTTCAATTACTTAAAAAAATAATTTTTAAAACCCAAATCCTAATTTAAATAGGCCTCCAGGCTCGACCCTTTGAGTCTGGCCCTTATTTCTTACTATACTCACCAGCACCAAACCAACAAATAAAGATAGAAAGTAATGAAGTTACCTTACGAAAAAAATAGCAAAGAGAAAAAAATATCAACTCTCTCTGTTCTAAATTATAAGACACTTTTAAATAAGTTTATTCATCTTAAAATATAAGACACTTTGAGTATATTAAGGTTTTATTAAATGAATTAATTTTAATATTATTCCTTCTTTCTCTATAATTAATTTCCATCACTTTTTTTTAAATATATTAAATGATAAATATTTTAAAAAATTTATATTTTTATTTTAAAAAGATAAAATTATTAACTATATTTAATAAATTTTATTAATATATAAAATTTTATTTAAAAATATTTTATAATTAAGGACGAAGGAGTATTTTTAATTTCAGTAGAGACTAGAGAGGGATGAAATGAAGTTTTTTTAAGTCCCCCTCTTGTCCTGTCTTTGTTCATGTGCTCCGTTAAAAAAAATAAAACAAAACAAAAACAAAGTCAGTTCGCGACTTCGACGCCACGTCGCCACTTGGACGGTCCTGGCGGTTGGCGAAACAAGGTTAGGTTATCACATTTCGATGTTGGGTTAGCCTCAAGAGCGCGACTGGCAGCATCGGTAACCCTCGTGAATCCTGGCTTTCGATTTGCAGCAATGAGCGGCGCTATGAAATCGGCACTGGTTAATTCGAAAAGCATTTATATGTCTCTCAGGGCTGCTCTCTTTCATTCCACTCCCGTCCTGGAACGTAAAAGGCGAAATCATTGGGACACTGTTAGTTTCTCTATTGCCTTTGTATCTTAATCTTAGGTCTATATTTTGCTTTCTCGTCGTATGCCAAGTTCCGATTAGTTAGTAATTTGGTGAATACCTCTTACTTTTTAGCGGATGCACTATTGAGTGGAGATTATTTGCACTAAAATTGAGATTAAGTTAATCTCTTATTTTTTTCTGGTATCTTCAACCATCTCAGGCTCTTTTTGAATGAGATTGTGTTGACTGAACGCCTTTGATTGCAGAGATTCAACCATTATTCAAAAAGATGTAGAAGGATTCATGCTAAACAGACATTATTGCGCAATATCAATGCTTATGCAGACTTCCTGCTTCAGGTTCACCTTGCCGTTATCTCATCTTATTCTTACGCCTACCGTCTCCCCATTTGATTTATTTCCCCATTTTTAATTTATATTTGAGGTATGCTTCAATAACTTGTTAACGGGTGGTATTAAATAAAACAAGAAGAACGGTGGGTTGCGTTGTAAGTTTTTGGAATTTACTACAATATGGTAATGGGATTCAACCATTCAGGTGTTGAATCTATGCATTTTGAAAAGCCTTACCAAGCATACACCCATTGTGCTTGGGTCTACTCTTTAATGCCGGGCTGCCTTCCATAAAAAATTGTTTGACGAGGGATCATGTTAAGGGGAAGCTTTTCTGTATTTTTCTCGTTGGTACGTACTTACACTATGCCATTATTCCTACAGTTGATAATCAGACAAAAATAAGAGTAGTTATGATGACTTGGTGTAACATATCTAGAGAGCCTAATTGATGATGGTATTTTGCATCTGGAAGAACAGATATTAAAATAAAACTCCTTATAGTTGGTTATGTTTCTGGGGATTTGGGAATTGAGAAACCATTGAGAAGGATAGTAAGGTGTTTCAGCCAGTGTCATAGATAGTGGTTCTTGAGTATTTTGCATTCTTATGGCTCTGCTAATAATTCAGTTTCCACCCCAATGAATGCTTTCAATGCTTAAGTTCCCCAACCTCCTTTTGGGCCTGCACCTACATTTTCATCATTATGATAACGCTTTTTAATTCTTACCTGAAAACCTGCCAATCCTATTTAAAAAATAGACTGTATCTGAGAGAAAGCATGTTTGAAGTATTATTTGAACAAATTATACCGGACCCTCTTTCTCTCCTAGTTTGCCTCCTTATGCTGTGCTCTGCATCTGGTTATTTCCATTTTTATTAATACCTTCTTCTGCAATCACAATATTACCTGATTAACCTCAGTGTCTAAAAAGTCAATTCTGCAACGAGACAATTGTTGTAGTTGTAGTGTCTGGAATATTGCATATTGTTCATTTTACTGGCTTAACGCTATATGATTCTATTTCACATGATTTGTTGGTCTTCATTCATCCATGGTTTTTGAAACTACTTAGTCCTTTGTATGATTGCGAGTTTAATCAATTCTCTCTGCCTTGTCTTGCCATTACCAATCATGGCTGGTGTAATATTGGTGATTCTTTAGTATCATTAATTTGAGAGGCTGTTCTCTCTATGTCATACTCAGATAAGGTTTCTTCTTGCTTCTCTTTCTGTTTCTTAATTTGCTTAATGCTTCTGCTTTGCCTTTTCCCTGTGCATGTTGTAGAGCTGGAAGGATGAGGTTGATGATGATGATCCATCTTCAAGTCAAGGCACCACATGGTTTAGGAAACAATATTCTGCCAGGGGCCGTGGAAGGAAAACAAATGGCTGTAAAGAGTCCTCGTATTATTGCAGAAGTAAGGATGTTAATAATAATTGTGCTGTAAAAGAATACCAAATGATTCTGATATTACTGATATATCCAAATTTGTGTAAGCTGTTTTTCCTTTGGGAAACCTTCTAAAATCTTGTTCTGTCAATCCAGTACGGTTATGGGTGATTAAATTTGCCTTTGGTAGATGTCCTGGAGCTATTTGGGGTTTTTACTTTCCCCATAAGTTTTCTTGAATAAGTTTTCTCCTTCTTTGTGAGTTTATGCTATTCATAGCAGCAAGAACCTGCCAGATTTCTATATACCATATTCTTCATCTCTTTCAGGAAATTCTGGTTCTGATTTTCCTGAAGAAGATTTTGATGTTGAAACTATTTTCCGCTCTGCCTTTGGGGGGGACCGATTCTTTTATTATTCCTTCATCAATGAAGAGAATCCTCAATGGAGAAGGTCAGGACGCTATTCTAACTACAGCAGGTCTTGGAACTGGAGTGAGGATGATGAATATTATGACTCTTCTACCGAGCCTGACAGTTTGGATTCAGATTTAGCTTCAGATAGGTTAGCCCTTGGTTTGACTGCTCATGGTCCTCTGAAACAAGAAGATGTGAAAAATGCGTGAGTTCTTGAACCCAACTTCCATTTCCTTCGTACTGAAGTATTCATGAGAACCAGAGCATCTAGATTTTCTTTAATCTTGAATTTTATCTATTTTATGGTGTCAGGTACAGGGCCTGTGCCCTGAAGTGGCATCCAGATCGTCACCAGGGCTCTTCCAAGGTGTTTATAATTCAAAGCTCTAGTCTGATCCTTATATTGTTCTTATACACGAGTCTCACAGGCATCAGTGTCTTCCTAATCTTTCGGTTACTTGCGCTGACAGATAGTAGCAGAAGAGAAGTTCAAGGCTTGCAGTGCAGCGTACCAATCTTTGTGTGATAAGTTGGCCATAAATTAAGGACGCGTTTTGCATGCATGCTAATTATTTTGTTCCAGTATCCAGCTCATGGAAGTTAATGTGGTCTTTGCCACATAAGCACAACCTGCTTATTTAAGTTTTCTAGTTTTCACTTTTGAGTAGTGCTATATTGAATTGAGGAAATAAATTTACGCCATGGTAATGGCAACGGAGCAGGCCATATTCTTGACGAAATCATGTATCCTTAGTTCATTGTAATTTTCATTCTGCTAAGGTTCCAGCAGTACTGTTAGGAACTTATAGTTCTAATATCCAGCTTCAATCAACCTGTTTATTGTAATTTCTGTGGCCCTCGTCTGGAATGCTTGACGGAGAGGCGTTTCTATTATAAGTTTATAACACTTATTGTATTTATATTGATTCATCATCATCATCATCATCATCATTATTTTCAAATTTAAAACCATCAAAAACATTTTATTTATTTATAAAATCAGTTCTTTATTCTATCGTGTTTTTATTTTATGTTGTTGTATTCCAAGCTAGGTATGTTTGCTGAACCGCAATGCGATGGCTACAAACTAAACTGTAGTTGAAATTAGGGCTGTATGAAGAATTGAATAATATTGAATTTGGCTTAACTTGAAATTTAGTTTCACTTATGTAAGGATTGGATTAGGAAATTTATAATCCGGTTTAATTTAATTATAATTTAAAAATTAATAAGATTGAATTTGGTCTATATTACTAGGAGATTTGTCTTGGTGGTTTGGTTAGCTTTTGTTTCTTCACATTTTTCCTCTTTCCTTTCATGAGAGAGAGGCAATATTTTATTTCATATTGGTGAACTCAATTAAAATAATGAAAATATTTATAATCATAAAAAATATCATAATTTCCAACAACAACAATAACAACAAAATATTTTAGTTACAATTTATATAATTTAAATTCACAACTTTAATAATGATAACATTTAACAAACTTCAGCAACATATTTAATGTACATCATAACAATAATTTAGCAACAAATTTAATTAAAATTATGTTAAATAGATTATCATTATATATATAAAAGTAGAGTTTAAGGCTACGAGAGAATGTCACATGTCTAATTTTAGGTTTGCCACATTTCTATACTTCAAGATATCTTTTGTGTGATTCTATGTTTCGGAATCAAGTTTGGGGTTATGTTAAGAAATTTTTATTATTTTTTATAAAATATAAAATGTATTATTTAAGTTTGGAGTTAGGTGTAGAATGAATTATTAATTTTTATATGTGTTTAAAGATCTATTTTTACCTATTTCAAATTCAAGTTTAATTATATTTAAATTTTAATTAATATCTATCTCTTTAATAACTCTATCCAACCTAAATATATGGCAAAATTTTAGGTTCATATATTTAGAGTATTTTTATAAAATATAAATTAACTCTCAAAATATTCAATTTAATGTGTAAAGCATGTGATTATTTGATGTATACATGTAGTTAAATGTGAATAAATTAATTCTTAAATAAATTTAATTTTTATTTATATAATCCATAGAGCTACATTTTGTCATTTTGTATTTTAAAATTTATGAATTTTTTATCTAAATAATTACACTTTATTAATTTATATGGTTGCCATTAATATTCTATAGTTTACGTTAGCATATTTTAATTGTGTTATCTTTTCTTTAAACAATAAGGATTAGATCAATAAAAGTTAATATCTATCTGTTTAAACATTTTATCCAATTTAAACATATAAAGAAGATAAAAGGTGAGAGTGAGCAAAAAGTATTAATTTCACACTCTTGATTATATGTTTCTCTATGATCAAGAGTGAGAAACGCATGACATTTCACATGCTACAAAAGAAACCCACGTTAATAACAAAAAAATGAATGATTGGAAAACATAATTTCTAAAAAATACCAAGTATTACATATTTTGGACTAAATTTAATTAAAAAAAAAGATCTTATAATTTGGATCCGATGCAGCAAAACTTTAAACACTCTATCCACCCTAAACATATAGACAAATTTTAGGGTATTTGTATGCAAATATATTATGTGTTTAAAAATTTATTGTTACCCATTTGAAATTTAAATCTGATTATATGTGTATTTAAATTAATATATGTTTATTTAAATACTTTATCCAACTTAAATATATGGTAAAATTTTAGGTTAATAATATTTAAAGTATTTGTATGCAAATATATATATATATATATATTGATATTCAAATTTAAATTAATACATATATGTTTAGATCAAAAATTAATTTTTTTACTATTTAAATCTATCTTCTTGAATCTCAAAAATTATAAATATGATTTTTATTAATATATGAAATTTGACATAATATATTTACAATTATTATATCTAACCTCAATGCCCATAATTCCGTGTATATGTACTACATATATATATATAATGATTAAAATTTATATTAATATATATCTATTTAAATATTCAAAAAAAATATTATTTGTTTAAAAATTTATTATTAGCTATTTGAAATTCAAATTTGATTATATGTGTATTTAAATTAATATCTATTTATTTAAACACTCTATCCAACTATAGGGATGAAAGTATGTATATCTCGTATTACTATGTGTCCATCTAATTCTAGATGTTCATTTATTCTGAAAAGGAGGCAATTTTCTATTATACTAGCTTTTGCAATGATCGTTAATAAAAGCCAAGGCTAGAGCCTGTGTAATGTCGGTTTGTACTTACCTCATCCTGTTTTCACTCACAGCCAATTATATGTTGTTATTTCTCGTGTTCGAAGTAGAAAAAGTTTAAAAATATTAGTTTTTAATAAGGATGGTCAATTCACAGACAAAACTTTCAATGTTGTTTATAGAAAAGTTTTCGATAATTTAGTCTAATTAATTATAATTATAAATTTTTATGAATATGCTTATTGTATCCATTGACACTATATTCATTTAATTTTTACATTGACTTAATACTAGTATGCATATTTAACATTAAAAATGATAATTATATAGCCTCGCTATATTTATGATGATATGGAATATTAGAGATAATATGCTACAAGTTATTTTTTTGAAAAAAAATCTTACTACAAGATTGACACTTATTTATAAAAACTTTAGTTTGTCGTAAATGATAGATATGTCACTTATTAAAAAAATTATTGCATATAGCCTGTGCATCGCATGGGTGCTTTACTAGTGTGAATAAAGAAAATGCTATATTCAAATTTTAAACTATTCAAACATATTAAATTTAACACACCAATTTTTTTTAAATAATTTAACTCAACCATAGTTGAGTTACAGCCACCCAATATATTTTTTTATATCAATAATTTTAACATAAAATATTTATAATTGGTTTCAACTCACACAATATAACATTTCAGATAAATTTTTACCTTCCACATGCCATTAGGCTAAATCACATTTATCCATTCTTATACTCCCAACAAGTAAACTAAATCACATTTGTCTATCCTTATACTCCCAACAAGTAAAATAAATAATTTAATCAATTTTCAAAACAAGTCAGTTATTTGGCCTCATAATCATGCCATTTTAACAAATGCAAAGTAAACCAAATATTAAAATTACAGTCATTCAAAGTGTACCAAAAATATAAATAATTTGAAAGGCATAATTACATTTATATATTCATATAATTATCAATAAACAAAAAGCCCTAATACTGGCAATATAACACATTATAAATCATAAATTAAATACCCAAAAGAGACAGTGGATTTATGCCACTAAGCCTCTGGGACTCCTCCACATGTCACTCATGGCTCTTCTCCTGAAAATTGTTAACCACATAATGAGATTCAAAAGTTCCAGTAACCAAAGTCAATTTATGATAGTGTGTACAAACAGTTAAGTATATACTTACTAAGTTGGAACCAAAAATAATATAATTCCAATAAAATATAAGAAATATTACAATACACACAAACAACCATTCTTATATCCTTCCATTAACCTCGAGCTGTAGCCCTCACTCGGTGCTAAATTACCCGGCCAAAGGTAGATTAGCCCGAACCCTTACAAGCCACTTATTGAGTTCCAATAGGGGCGTACCACGTGGCACATAAATACAACAATAGCAAATCTCCCAACACCTCCCACAATAATCAAACAAAATTTATAACAATACTGCACAATTATAGAATATTACAAAATTTATAATTTTCTCAATAATCACCCAATTAACATGAAGTAACACTAATCACAAATTAGAAGCATGGTTACCTTGTGGCTTTTTCAATAAATTATTCCTTACAATTTCTCTCCCACCACAATTTTCACCAATAACACAATCTACAAGTAACATATTATTTATAAATATTAGTTTCAATTATTGAAACTAATAAAATAATTCTAATAATAGAATTAAAAATATAACATAATTCCTAATCTCAATCTTAATACAAATTTAGAGTTAATACTATTAAGTAAAATTTTGAACTCCTCTTTTACTCATCAATAAACATTAATAATCTAAAAATCAAATTTTAAACTAATTTTTATTATCAAAATTTTCTTTTTATTTCATAAATTCGCACCTAAAATACCCAAAAATTAAAAATTGAGTCTCTAGCTTAGAATCATAATCCTATAGTCATAATAATTCATTTTTCATCCCAAATAATCATCTAAACCTTAATAAATCATCATATATTTTCAGATCTAGTTTAAAATTTGATTCATAAGCCACAAATTCAAAGATCATCAACAAATTTATACTCTAGAACATTTATTATACTACTAACAACCTCATAAATCACATTTATTCAACATAAATTCATCCCTCTTCCAGATCCTAAATTTTCTACTACCACAAAATCAGAAACCAAAGAGGAAGGATGATTAAGAAAATTTTTTAGAAGACTTACTTAGTCTTGAAAAGCTTAATATCACACCCTAAATATCCTATTAAAAACTCTTACCTTAAAAATTCAGATCTTTCGCACCGGCGACTCACGCTCACTCTGCCTCAGCTCGCGCACGAAGGAATGAATGAAGAAATGAAAAAAACATGTGAGTTTTTATAAAAATTTAGTAGGTCTCACATTTTTTTTATTTCTTCTTTCCTCTTTCTCCCTTTTTTTTATTATTATATATACGTAATGATTGCAGCATGCGGGATGCCGAAAGTGCTTCTCCTCTTCTTCTTCTTCTTCTTTTTTTTTTCTTTTTCTCATACCTTTTCTTCTTTTCTCTTTTAATAATAATAATAATTAATAATATTTTTAATTAATTAATTAATAATAATTTTTTTAAAAAAATTTTAATTTAGAATTATATCCTAAGTTAGATTTAGTAATCATTTTCTACTAATTTGCTTACCTCTAAATATTTTTTAAAATTTCTATTAACCAAAATTAACTATTAAAATTTAAATTGGGATGTTACATTAAAAATGATTAAAATTATTTTTTAAGATTGAACCGGATTGAGTGTTCTAAAATTATTTATTGTCTGATCCAATTTGAGAAGTTTGGTTGGTCTTTTGATTTCTTTGAATTTTTTTACTGGGCTAGACTGAGTTTGTTCGGATTAGACAGAACAACTAAATATTTGCACAGCCATAATTAAGATGCCATTATCAATTTATTTTATTTTCACATGCAAATATTAGAGGCAATAAGCTCATGGTGAGTGATAATGCATGATTCTTTTGCCCTTATTATTATTATTATTATTTTTTTAAAAAACTTTCTTTATGAACTTCACTAATCATACGTTATATGTTAATCTCAAGAATCTAAAATTACATTCAATCAGGGTTTTAGTGTTTTTTTTGTTTTTGGGAGGTGAGATTAACAATTCATTTAAAGTGACAATACATAGTGCACCTTAAACAATGAACTTAAGTTTAAGTCACATTAATATGAAATTATTATTTATTGTTAGAAAAAATTTGTTCAGAAAAATGATTAACCAATCTGCGAAATGAAGTATCATTTAAAATAAGTTGTATCCCATTTTAATTATTATAAAAAATGTAAAGAATAATTGTTTTTTGCTGAGTCACAGAGAGTATTCGAAATTTAATTTTCTTCAGAATATTGAAAGAAAAAGATAAATTTCTCTCAATTAGATTGGGAGATACATTTGAGAAAGAATTTGAACTTTTAACAACTTACTTAAATCACAAAAGCTCTTATTATTCATATCAGCATGGGTTAAATGTAACAAATGGTTTTGATAAGAGTTAAATTGGCAACTTTTTGATACTGAAGGGTCAAATGCAACTTGATCTTCCCAGAAGGATAACACGACAGCATCGGTGACGGCGGCGCCCACGTCCAAATCTACGGTGCTGATTTCTAGTTCTGATTTCTTTTATTTTTTATGTGAATTTATTTAAATGGTAGAAATTTCAAGTTTAGTTCACCTCACTGCCTTCTTTGTGACTGATTTAGGTTTCAGTTTCAGCCGCAGCTTTATTCCCTTGTAGTCAACGTTGCGTTTGTTTTCAACTTTGAAACCCCCTTTGATCATCCAATTCTAAACTACCTTACTTGAAAAGTACAATTCCGAATCACCGATACTCTTCCCTTTTTGTTTACTTGGATTTCCTGTCTTCTCTATAAATGTTGTCGTGAAAATTCCATGCTGATCTGCATTCCTTATTCTCGCCGTCTCAATATTCCCTTTTCTGTATCTCAACATCTTGCGATCAATGGAGACGGCGGTCTCGTACCACCCTCGGAGCTCTCTAAATGGGGATTTCGGCTTTGGTGCCAGTGATCGCAGATTCGCGTTCTCACGCCAAGCTTCGTTTAAGCAATCGCAAGAACCGCACTCGCCCGTTTCATTCCCTTCGAACAATTCCAGAGGGCCTTTACTTTCCCGGACCGACTCCAGCATAGACATTCCTCGGGGGCATTATTGGTCAGGCCAAGATCACTACTTTTCTGAGGGAAAGTACCCGGAGAAAGTCTCTTTGTCCTCTCTTATTTTCTCCGTTTTTCGAAACATCAGGTCTGGGCATAGATATATGAAGAGACTATTTTTTATGATTTCCCTGAATGTAGCCTACTCCACTGCAGAGTTATTCATTGGCCTCTTTACTGGGCGCGTAGGTAAGATCATTAATTTCTCATAATGGATTAATAATTGCTTCATACAACTATAAACCTTTCCTTTAAAAGGTGTTCAAAATGAGTAAAATTGATATTTCTTGCTGGGCTGCTATTCTGCAATTTAAATATCCTACAAGGCTTTTGGATGCTTTGAGGATTGTGCTTCTCATTCTTGAGAGCCCTCCAACGGAAGTATGAACTTTATTGGGGGGAAAATGCGGATTTTACCCTCAGTTTCGCAATTTTTTTCACAAATAATTCGTAGACAAGATTTGTTGCTAAAATAACTTTTCCCATATCCTCTTTTCTTCGTCCATGGTGAGCAAACTGCTATGGATTGAACATAAAATCATTCACGTCTGCTCAATTTGAAAGTTGAGCCTCAGATGACTTCGGTTTCCGATTTCATACATCTGATTTCAGGTTTGGTGTCTGATGCATTTCATTTGACTTTTGGATGCGGTCTTCTGACATTTTCATTATTTGTTATGGCGGCCTCAAGGAAGAAGGCTGATAGAGATTATACATATGGGTAAGCCTTCTGTTTGAAAATTATCTTCAATGATATGCACTGTTTGAGGTTCGGATACTCAACTATGTTGGTTTCTAGCGCTGTCAACTTTTTTTTCATGAGGACTATCTTGTTTAAAAAATGTCTGTCTCCCCTAACCTTTGATATATATTGCAAAACATTCTTTCCAATTTTTCTTTCAATAAGATGAACTTAATGCACAACATGCGATCTTTCCAAAGATAAAATCAAGATGAACGAATTCTGTGGCAAATTCTTATTCTTGCATGTGAGATGTGACAAAAAACAATATGAATTTGTCTCACAATTTCTTAAAGGCAGATGCACACGTGCAGGACTTGTCCTATGTCTAGGTGACAGAGATCATGAGTTTTGAACTACTGCTGTCCGTCAGTATTTCTGATTTACATACTATCCTCTAATTTCAGGTATAAAAGGCTAGAAGTTTTGTCTGCATTTACAAATACTGTAAGTATTTAAAATATCCTTTGCAACTAGAGTTTTTAACATTACATTACAGAAATCAAGTTATAGAATGATCCTTTCTAAAACTAATGGCGGTCAATGCAAAGTCATAGCATGTGCATTTTTAATATTAAAAGTGTATTTGTACTGAAACACCCCCCCAAAAAAAGGATAATTTAGTTTAAAAATTTTGACATGCATTTTTTAGGAAAAATTATATATAGGTCCCGTGGAGTAAGCTTATTTACAAATAAGTTCCATAAATTTTAAAAACTATAGCCAGGTCTCTTGGGATCTGAGCATAATTTGAAATTAGGGTGCAAAGATAATAATGCTTCTATTAAAATATATTACATTTATCAAATAATTTACAATTATCATTTTAACTTTTTATAGCTATAGCTTCAACTTTTTACATCAGATATTCAAACCTCTTAACTATTAGATATACGAAGTTACAGTTGTAAAAAATTGAACTGATAGTTGTAAATTAGTGATGAAATAATTGTAAATAATTAGTGTTAAATTTTTTAGTAATGCATTATCAATTTAACTATTAGATATATGAAATTATAGCCATAAAAAGTGATAGTTGTATATTACTAATGAAGTAATTATAAATTATTTGATTGATATATTGTATTTTTAACAAGGGCATTATTGTCTTTTGACCATAATTTCAAATTATACTTAGGTTCCAAGGGACTTGGTTGTAGTTTCTGAATTTTGTGGGACTTATTTGTAAATAAGTTTGCTTCATGGGACTTATACATGATTTTTTCTTTTGTTTTTTTTAATCTCACCATTAGCTATAAAAAAAATACAAAATTTGTATATTTGTTAAATGGAGTCTGGCATAGTTTTTTTTTTTTTTTTGGGTCAGTCGAGATTCTTGTAGTGTTGTTGATGTGTGGGATTAGGTTTGAGATTTTAATCATTGTTGGCACTACTTATTTTGGTATTTTGATATTCTCAGTCATCTGATGAACTGGATTTTTTTTTTTAAATTTTGCTTTCACCTTATTATATCAATTATGAAGGTCAAAGGCACTACTTGCACCCCCCTCTCTCTCAATTTGCACTAACATGTTGAACTTCCTTATTTTGTTTGCTACTTGTGTAGACAGCTTTTCCTTTTGTTTATGTCATTTTCTCTTGCGGTTGAAGCACTTCACGCATTCATACAAGATGAATCAGAGCACAAGTAAGTTTGTGTGACCAATGACTATCGCAGTTTTTGTATTACATTTTATATACACATTCAGCATGGAGAAGATTCAGTATTTTTGCAATCAATTAATTTTTCTGTTCATGTGTTCTATTTCATACATGCTTGGAACTCAAGGTACTTGCTATAGCAGTTAAGTCTTAACTTTAAGCTCCTTTTCGTTGTCTGATATTTGAACATGCTTAACGAAGAAAATGTGTTTTTTACTTGGAAAATAATGCGTGGCTCTAGACTGCAAGACTTTTAGCCAGACAATTTCTGTTACTGTGTTTTCATCTTGACATGATACCATTGATTTGTAATCTATCATGGTTATATTCCATAAACCTGTTGTTAATTAGTCGACTTAGACACTTTGTCCTATACATGTGTATTATTTGTGATCTTTTCAAACGTAATGTGTGTAAGACATGTGCTTAATGGTATTATCTGTGAGAAAATGGAAAGAAAACCCATCCATGTGAAGCCGTTATGGGATCTTTTGGCTGATTGCTGATGCATTCAAGTTTTTACACCCTAATACATGCAAATTTGTTTCTTTGGTTGGGATTTTTGGTTCTTAAATTCTATTATTTTCTTCAGTATCTATCTGCTGATGCTGATAATGATATTCTTGTAGGCATTACTTGATTGTTTCAGCTGTGACCAATTTAGTTGTGAATCTCATTGGTGTATGGTTCTTCAGGAATTATGCCCGGATTAATCTCAGTGAGTATATTTGAACATTTTATTCTTCCGGCTGCTAGCCTTGAGTAATGTTTCCTTATTCAAATGGGATGGTGTGGATTGATGGATGATTGATGCTTGATTATTGCCATTTGTTATCTGTTTTTCTTGGATTTTTGCTTGCAGCTTATAGAAATGCTGAAGATATGAATCATCATTCCGTTTTCCTGCATGTTCTAGCAGATTCTATTCGCAGGTAGATATGCTGGTCTCTATGGACATCATTGTGTATTTGAAGGATAGCGACACCCTTGCAACTGCAATCAGTTTCATTCTCTTAGTTCGTTTTTTTATTTAACTTAACATGCTTTAATGGTTTCTCAGTGCAGGTTTGATACTGGCATCCTGGTTACTTTCCATTGGGTAAAAACCCGTTTTTTTCCTGATACATTATTTTGCAATAAAAGTTGTGTGTGAGAGAGAGAGAGAGAGAGAGAGATAATAAGGGAATGATGAGTTTTCGTTCTGATTTCTTCTGATTTTGTAATTTCTTTACCTTTATTTATAGGGTCCAGAATGCAGAAGTCTTGTGTTTGGGACTTGTTTCTGCTGCGGTTTTTACACTGGTCTTGCCACTCTTTAGGACAACTGGTGGTATCTTGCTCCAAATGGCACCTCCTAGTATTCCAACTTCTGCTTTGAGCAAATGTTTGAGACAGGTTATTGCTTTAGTTTCTGTGAGTAAAGTAGGCTATAGGGCTGGTTTTAGCTTTTAACAGGGGGTGCTTAAATGTATGCAAGCTCTCTCTAAACAATTCCAGTCCCTTGGGGAAAGGAAAGGGTGAAAAGCTGTATTTTGCTATCGGTGATTTATGATCTTTTAATAGTTTTCATTTGAATATACGTGGGGATCCTTTAATGCTTTGTATTTTTTAATACCTTCAATTTTCTTTAGATAACTGCTCGGGAAGATGTGCTGGAAGTTTCACAGGCTCGTTTTTGGGAGTTAGTTCCTGGTCATGTGGTTGGTTCGCTCTCAATTCAGGTGATTCCCCATTTAACATTTGTTTCCCCTCCCCTTTGCCGCTAGGTGTGTACTTGGCGGTTCTGAAAAAAGGAGTAAGAGTGTGTTTTCGTCTCATGCTGGAAGCCAAGCTATATCGAACATGAAACCAAACACAGTGAAGCAAGTTAACAACATGCTAGGATACATGTCTAAAGATACTTACCTCAATTTTTTTTTCTTTCCTGGGAGCTGTTACTGAAGTCTGACTCTAGCGAGTTATTATACTTGGCAGGTGAGGAAAGGGGTGGATGATCGTCCATTACTAGGACTTGTGCATGGTCTATACCATGACTTGGGTGTGCAGGACCTCACCGTGCAGACTGATGATACATGAACTTCTCATGTTCTTGGATTTCTGCAGTTGATTATCACCATGGATTGCTTAACAAACGTGGAACGAAAATCAGCTAACAAAATGTTGTGTTAATTTATTTTTGTATATTAGAACCATTTTTGAGTGGAATATTATAACCATTTTGATTGCCCCAAAAATTGCTTGTCAGCATAACAATGTTGCCCTGCTTTCTCTAGATGTGAGGAAACGTGAATCTAAAATTCATGCCTACGGGCACGGGATACTTACCAGTTACCATAAATATGGTCTGTTTTAAAATCGAATGTTGATTGTTTTATTTTAATATTTTTAATCTTTAATAAAATATAGAATAAATTTATCATTTAACAAATCACGCCAGTCGTTAAACAGAAGTACTTGGCAACGATCTCCCCACGCTTCATGCAGTTTCTTGAACCAAACGAAGAATTTGCAGCTTTGTTCACTTTGCCCTCTCACTCCCTTGGTAAGTTGGCAAGGTCCGAAGTTTGCTTGAAGGTGTCCTGATAAAGAATTATTTACAAGATTTAATGATCACTCAATTAATATAATCATCAATATCATTATGAAAATAAAATAGTTCATTTTTCGAACCTTTTAACGCTTCCGAGAATGTAAGTGGATTATTGTGACAGTTGCAGCGAAGATTTCTAACATCAACGTGCGATCGTTATCTACCTTAATTTTGCCATTTTCTTTTTTCTTTGTTGCTATAATGAATAATCTTGTGTCTTCCTTTCCTTGCATAAAACCCAGTAAACATGTAATCTAATCATGATTTATTTCCAAACATAAAAGTCAAATGATCATATGCAAAAATATTTCTTTGCCGAAATCAGATTAGCATCCTATAATTCTCAAAATTGTAATTACCTTGAAGCCAAAGAAACGCCGGACATGCTTTGTAATTATATATTGCATGTGGTTAATTTTAATTGGATTTTGGCAGCAGAGTTGAATTTTTCTTTTCTTTTTCTTTTTAAATCTCAATCAGACAATTCGTTTACACAATCAATCTTGACATCGACTTTCGGTAAAAAAAAAAAAAAAAAGCAGGGCACAGCCATTGAGACTAGAGAAAGGGGGTAGGAGATTAAATGATAAAACAGCTAAATGAAATTGCATCTGACAGGGTAATTATAAATATTATAGTACAATTTGGTGTCCAAAAGTTGACTACAACTTGAAGCAGGTACGCTGACTTAACCATCGACCCCGGAGAAAATCAATTTACACAGAACTAATTAAGAAGAAAGTTCGTTAAGCACCGTATATCTACAGTGATAGGATATCAGGCTATATACACGATGGCGTAGGGTTGACGGAAAACAGTAGCCAACTGAAGTGATTACGATGACGATCATCTGCCGGTGAGCTGAGTGAAGGGAGGAGTGAGCTGGGCTGCAGAATTAATGGAGTTGTCATTGACATTGAAGGAAGGGGGAGCGGCCGGCCACACAAAAGCCGGCCGTTCTCTAGGGACCGCCGGTGGAGCCACCTCGCCTGTGAGAACCTGCAGTACCGTCTTCATGGATGGCCTTTCGTGCGGATTCGGATGGCAACAAGCCAGCCCCAGCACTATCACTCTCTCCGGTTGTTCTTCGTCCTCCTCTGTCTCCTTCTTCATTCTCTTATCCATTCCATCCAATGTTCTTCCCTTTCCGTACATCTCCCACACCCAGTACACTATGCTATTCTTGTAGTCGTTCTGGGCACACGCGTTCCCTGGCCTCATCCCACACACCACTTCCATTATCAGAACCCCAAAAGCGTACACGTCTGTTTCCACTGTTGCCCTCCCTGTCAGAAATGTCTCTGGGGCCATGTAACCTGGTGTTCCAGCTATCTCTTTCGTGGAGTGGTGAGTCTCGTTCCTTTCCTGGATGGTTCGGGCCAGTCCAAAGTCTCCTAGCCTCGCGTTGAACTCTGAGTCCAGCATAATGTTGCTTGCCTTGATGTCCCTGTGAATCACCTTCTTCTCGCATCCGTTGTGAAGATAGTCAAGCGCTTCAGCCACCCCGTATATCACACTGTATCTGGTTTCCCAGCGAAGGTTTTGACCTGATGATCCCTCGGAACTCCCAAATAGGTACTTGTCTAGGCTTCCGTTGGGCATGAACTCGTAGACGAGGAGGAGTTCTTTTCTCTCGTAGCACCACCCTATCAGCTTAACCAGATTCTTATGGTGGAGGCTACCTATTGTCGTGACTTCTGCTACGAATTCTTGCTTCCCTTGACGTGAATCCTTGGACACTCTCTTCACAGCTATCTCCTTACTTCCCAGGATTCCCTTGTACACTTTTCCGAAACCACCTTCCCCGAGCTTGTTCTGGTAATTGAAATTGCTCGTTGCCTTCTTGATCTCCCTCAGCCGGAACTTCTTTGGAGCCATTGAGGAACACTGAATCTGGTCTTCTATCCCCGGGTATGCATCCTCTGCTATCTCCCTGCTTCGTTTCCACCTCCAAATCAAGAAAAATCCCACCACACCTGCGATAGCCACCACCGTTGGAACTGTGATCCAAACCCACAGTAGCTTTTGATTTCGGTCCCCGATATCTTCACCGTTGAACTCCCAGGCTCTGATGCAGTTCAACTCATTGAAATTACTGGTGGATGCAGAGAACCCCAGAAATACCTTCTGTGGGAGATATGAGGTGAGATTGAGAGGTGGAGATTGAAGCAAGAGGTTCATGTCTTGTGCTTTGGTTCCATTCATCATGTAACCAAAAACAGAAATCACATCGTTAGCGTACTGAACTCTCACCGTCACATTGATGCCGGATGAAATATTGATCCCCAAGGGAAGTAACGGAGACTGCTTGATGGAGTAAACACTGTTCACGTTCACGCCAACATGTCCGGTTGGGCCATCTTCGGGTGAGTTTTGTCTGGTATCAAACTCCACGGCCAATATGGCAGCAGCAGAAGTGCCGTTTGTGGAAGAATTCACGATGCCAAGCCATCTTCCATGGCTGTTGGGCGGGAGACTGTTGTCAGCGGCTAGCACGAAGGCCAAACCTTCGCCTGCACCTGGGTTTGAAGGAGTGTCGGGGCTGATATTGAGGACGAAGGTGGTATTAAATGATGCAGTTTTTTCGTTCTTCTTGCTCCATAATCTATATGCCTTGTTGTAGAAGGCCCTTCCGGACCTGTTCCTCAAGTCTTCACCATAAGCATCAGGCGTCACTTGGATGGCCTCACGGAATATACGGGAAAATTTACTCAGTATTAATCGATTTTGATCTTCTTGTTCGTCAAAGGTGGGGAAATTGAAAGAAAAGCAGTCAACCCTGGTATGGCCGAGAATACAGATGAAGATGACTGCTAAAAGTTGAGGCTTAACCATCCAACAAAATTGCATTCTACTGATCATTAAACGGTCGATAACATATGCGCTTTGAAGGATTTGCGATAGCAATACACACGGAGTGAGCTCTAAGCCTGCTGTGAGTAGCCAGACAAATTGAATGGCAACGTCTGAGGGGGAAACTATCAGAGATCGGAGGCCAAGTCTAAAATGCTGCTGCTGATGATGATGATCAAGCATGCTTAGCTTATTCCATTATACACTATATGTATTTATATATTTTAGAGGAAGCAATCAAAATTAAAGACTTGATTCATCAATGGGAACTTTCCTTGCTCTTGAGCAGGCCTTGTCATTTCTGTGTATCGTTGAGAAAGTTTGGAAAATATTTTATAGCTAGAATTTGTATGCATATGACTTGGTCATGTATGCTTAAGCGTTTACTCTTCTATATAATGCAGAACGATGGGGTACACCGTACACGAGGCCCGGCAAAGTCAATGAATATCTTCAACAAAAAAACGTAACCAATAAACTATATATAATATTGTTGTTTATCTTTTCATATATGTATTTTGTCCTCGGGCGGATCATCAGCGAGGAAAGCTCCTTCTTGCATTTATCGAATTTATAAATTATTTCCTATCGTTGTCGTCGCTGCATCTGCATCTCGTACATCTCTCTGAAGGGACATGTAGTGAGGGTGTTTTTATTCTGAAATATTATCTGATGAGTATTTTTTATATAACATTTTTACTTCTAAAATAATTAAAATATAACATTCTTCACCTTACGTTAAATACTCACGTTTCTTAAATAATTAAACTATATTCTCTCAGATCATATTGATAGTTAACATTTATTATTTAACATTGAGTAGAAAATATTATATTTTAATTACTTCAAGGACAAAAATAATATACTAAATAGTTTAGAGTGCAGGATACTCTCAAAAAAATAATTTAAGAGTAAAAATGTATATTTTTTTTATATAAAACTTTGTTAGAATTTTGAATGATATGCATAATATTCAGATATGATTGCCCTCACCACGTTCAAAGTCAGAATATAGAATTAGTAACTAGCAAGGAAATGAATAACAAATTAATACATATATTAATTGGTAGAATAGCGTGTTTGGAAATGAAATGAGGTTGGCATAGCATTTGCCAAGAAAATAAGGGTTGTTCCGGGAAACTCCGGGTTGATTGATAAGTCAAAAAGGCCAGAACCAATCCGGTCGGCCACCTTGCCCTCTCACTGTTATACTACGTGTGTGTTTGGATATGGTTTAGAATCCATTTTTGGGGTGGAAAAATCAATTTTTCACAAAATTATCCAAACACCCCTGTTTTTGGTTAATCGACCTTTGGCCCAAAAATGGATTTTTTCTGCAAGCTGATAATCTGAGCGTTCCGGAAAAGTCTGTGAAACAACGTTGGGAAAAATTATAAAAAAACACTCAAAAAATTACAAAAAAAGTACATAATCTAATAAAAATAAAATCAAACTTTCTTTTTTTTTAATAAAATTCAAACTTTGTATTATCAAAAAATAGATATCTGATATTTAAAAATTAAATTATATAATAATTTATATAGTTAAAATTAATTCTGATTAAATTATTCAAATATTTTTAATTTTATTAAAATTAATTTTAAAAAAATATTCAAACAGATTGCGTTATAATATAATCAATTATAATTAAAATCTATTATTTAATTAATTATTTTTATAATTTATTATATTTAATTGAAATTCAAATGGATATTACATTACTCCATATATTAAGGTTGAAGGGTAAAATATCTCAGAATTCTATTTACAAGAGACGTTTCGTATTTTAAGCTTTCGTTTTGAGTAATATTATTCCACAACTTTTAAAAAAGTGCAGTATTACCTTAACGTCAATAGTAACCATTAGTTGACTTTTTAACTGACAAGTTGGCAACTACCTGGCTCCGATTCTGAATCGCAAGAAGCTCCCTGATTCCCCCAATCCAGCTATTTATGAGGCTTCCCTCGAGTGCATCAATCTCGCCGCCTTCCTTCTCAAGCTCAACCGGGACACCATCACCTCCAGCGAAGTTCCTGCCAAGGCTCTTGACTATGTGCCTGTTTGGTTAAGCAAAATAATCAATTAATTCACTGCAAAAATCGATTAATCAAAAACATATTCAAACACATAAAAATTATGTAATCAATTTTATTGGTTAAAATTAATTTTTCTTGAAAGCGCAGATAATCCATCAAAAAACATTAAAAAAATTACGAAGAAAGACTCAGAAAAAAATTATAAAAATGCCCAAAATTTAATAAAAATAAAACTAATAATATATTTTACTTCTTAAATAAAATTAACAACTTTAATAATATTAGATATAAATTTATTAATAATTTAATTTGAAAATACAATGTCCTTTATAATAATTTATACAATTAAAATTGGTTCTGAATAAATTATTTAAATATCTTTAATTTTGTTAAGATTAATTTTAAAAAAACGATATCCAAATAAATTTCGTTATAATATAATCAATTATAATTAAAATTTATTATTTAATTAATTATTTTTATAATTTATTATATCAAATGGAAATACAAACGGATTTGGGATCCGGATTATGTGCGGTGGTCGGGAAGTGAAAAATTATAACTCTGCTTTTTATCTGATAGCTGAGAAAAGAGAGGTGTATAAAAAGATTTTTCATTTACAAAACACACATTTATATTTATCAAAAATTAAGTTTTTTTATTTTTATTTTATATTTATTAAAATAAAAAATTATAAAATCAGATAAATTATTTTAAAATTAATTATCTATTATGAAAAATAGAATAATCTCTTCTATTTTTTTGGATAGTTTTTATTTTTCGTTATAATTATAATTAAAAAAGGAGGGGAAAAATTGGAAGTTTTATTATTATTATTATTTTTTCATCGTCACTTTTCCTTTCCTCATTGCCTCCTAAAACATCTCAACAAATTATCTTCATTTTCTGTTCTTTTCACCCGCGCCATTGAAGAAAATAAAGACCACGAAGCACCCATAGCCGAAGATGATTTTTCCAGATTGAAGATTCCTATGATGGAGATGATTTCTACAAAGGTGATGATGATGAAAACGAACTTGTGGCCGTCGGTCAGCCACCTTCAGCAAGAACTTGCAATCATAAGTGTGATCTGCGATGCATTATGGGCAGAGGAGATGATTATGATTGTGCGCTTTATAAATGAGAAGTTTTTGTTATACATCTCTGTCTTTTCAGCTGTTATTTAAAATATTTTTCAAATATTTTTTATAATTATTGTGTATATATCTCAATCATTATTAGGATATATTATTTGATATTATTATATAATTATTAATCATTATTGTATTATTTATTTTCTTTGTGTGTACAGTATACCTTTTATTTCAATAATAGAAGCATGACATTTTTCAATTATTCTCTAATTTATTTCTCTGATCTCTGATAATTTTCATGGTACTAGAGTCATATAATATTTTTTTCCATGATAAGTTAGTTTTTGAAGAATGTTAGCTTTTCTTTGCAATAATGTTGTTGTCCTTTGTCATGAGTTCAGATCCATCTTAAATCTATTTTTGCATATCCACATGACAGTTTCAGTAAATTGACATTTTCAGTTTCATTAACCATTTGATCATGTTTAAATTGTAAAGAATATCCAACACGTCATTTTCAAAAGTCAGATTGTTGATTAGTTTCCTAGTGTGAGTGCTATGCCATTCACACTACAATCTTGGTTTATGTGTTTTAATCTATCATTCTCTTTTGTAAGCCTTTTTTTCCTTAAAAAAAATTCAGATGTTGCTCAATCTATATTAGTTACCTTGAATGGTTGCAATTATTGTCTTTGGTTGGAAAAATATTATTTTGCTTATCCTACTTTAGGATCCTCTTTGATTGAACTTGAAATTTTATTGTGCATATTTATCTCTAGTTCATCTAGCCCATCTCCTACTTTATCTACTGTCACAGATAAATCTACTTAGTATTTTGACTTTATTGTTGCAATCATATGACAGGTTAGGAAAGTTTCTTATCCTTTATGACACCTAACTCTACTACCTATCCAATACACATCTTGTCTTAGTTTGTTAAGTGTGATTATAAGATATTGCCAACTAGGATTGCATGCTTTTGTTATACTTGCATTATGTTATGTGCATGACTTAATTGTTGTATTTTGGGCTCTAAAATCATTGTAAGTAGATTTTATTATTTCTAATAGAACCAAAATACTAGTGCAAATGTAAAGAAAACTATGATGTTGTATTTGATGTTAAATTATTAAAAGCAATGCTAGACCTCCCTTTCTACTTATGATATTAAGGGGTTGAAAGTTGAAATTGAGATATAAGTGAAATATTGTGACTGTGGTGTGTTGTATAGGTAATTCTAGGTCTTTTGAGTATAGTCTAGGTGTTAGTTGTGACTTTTAGCACGTGTGTTTACTTTTGGACTCCCTTGCGATGGAAAAAATATGAAAAGTAAAGAAAATGTATTTGAGCATCTAACTCTTTTTGTGTGAAATCTTTTTGAGGTAAAACTTGTGTCATTAACTAATTCATGAAAAGAGTTTTTTTAAACACTTAAATTACCTCAATTGGATGTTAGACAAAGATTTGAGCAAGCCAAAAGTTAGCTAGAACTGTTATCAAATGACAACAACATGTTGTAAAATCACAAGGGTGTCATGCAATAACGCATCTCTCATTTTTTAATGTGTTGGTTTTTCAACTGTTTTTAAAATTTTAAAATTGTAAATGGTATCTTGAGTTTTCATAACTCTTTTAATATCAAAATAGATTTGATTAAGCTTTGTTTTTATTGTTTTCATATTGAAAACTTGGGATCCTGATTGTGAAAATTATATAATTTGAATTTTAAAAATGCTTACACATAGTTGGGTAACCCATTTAAGGTTAATCATACGATTATCTAAATGATTGTGGTTAAGGGTTAGATTAGTAAAAGTGGCCTTATAGCCAAAAAACTATTGTAAGTATAGTTATAGTAATATGGATGATTGTAAATGATTATATTGAGATTTATTATTGAAACCCTCTCCATCTATTTTTAGTGTAATATCATCCTCCTTCTAATCCCATAATTAAATTCTAGTCTCAATTAATTAGGAAATGGAATTATAATAATTATTAAAATATAAAATTTTCATTGGTTAACAAAATGGGGACCCCAAGTTTATAAAACTAAAATCATTTTCAAGTCTTGTAATCAGACAAATCAAAGTTCACAAATACACAAAAGCAAAGGATCATTATATAAGTGAGTACATTTGTTTAAGAATTTGAAACAAAAGAAATTTTGAAAAATTTTAA